GCAGCTACAAGTCACAGAAGCACTGAATGGAACTTCAGAACAATTCCTTTGTCTTCAGCCTCCGCTTCAGTTGCATACCCATCACATCCTTGGTTGGCACCTGTCCTTACATAGGATGCCCCCAGCAGGAAAGACATATGTGTGTGAAAGTGTGTATGTGTATGACATGGGCATGAGGACTTGATCTCTCGGGATAAGAAAGAATGGACATTGGCAGGTGGGGATCATAGTCACACCAGATTGATGGGTGTCTATAGGTAAAAACTCCATTTTGTCCCATTAGTGTTTTAGATCTCTTTATCGAGCAGTGGAGGAGGCAGGGAACGATCCTTATGGGGGAATTAACTACCAGAGCCAGTTTAAAGCCTCTGGCCCATAGTGGACACTAATTTTGAAAAACAGAAGAGCTGGCTTAGAGCTTAAGAACACTGGTTGTTCTTGCAGAAGACCTGGGTTTGAATCCCAGCACCCATGTGGCAGCTAGTAACTGTCTGTAACTCTAGTCCCAAGGGAGCCAACAGCCTCTTCTGACCTCCGAGGGCATTGCACGACACGGGTGTACTTACCTACATGCAGGCAATACATACATACACATAAAATAAAAATAATGAATAAAAAATTTTAAAAGCTTAAAAAAGAAAGAAGAGCTACCCCACACCACTAGTCTCCCCAGTTGAGTCCCTCCTTGTGTCCCCACCTTCAGTGGGCCCTAGGCCCCACCCTTCCTGATGGTATTTCTGCCTTTTGGGTGTAGTCTGAGCCCCAAGCAATATCTTCTCTGCATTTAGGTGCCTCACAGGCCTGACAGCCTGAAAATGCCAGAAAAGTGACTTATTCTTAAGGCAGCTTCAGTCTGCCTTTGACTCCTTGTCTCTGGAACACCATCTCAGTGCCTGAAGATCTCTCCCATCACCTATGCAACCCCTTTACTTTACAGAAAGGGAGCTGAAGCCCAGAGAGGGTCACACAGCAAATTGGTCTCACTCTGTCTTGTGCTCTGGTATCTTGTTTGACATTGAAATCCTCTTCTGAGAGCATAGACTAGAGAGTGGAGGGCAAGCTTAGCACATGCCATGGCAGGTAGTGGGTGTGAATACATGGCTGCTTAGATAGACTTGTGAATGTACGCTCCACTTGTGGGGAGAATGACTCCCTGGGCAGCCTGATTTCTGTATCAACTGTAGCACTTTGAATCTCTACTCAGCTACCCTGTCCCCTCCGCCACTGTCAGGAGGAGACCACTGAAATCCTTGGCACCTCAGTTGCTAAACCTGCTAGAGTATGAGGACACAGAGAATGTGGCTCTGAGGTTCCTTGTGGAGGCACTAAAAAGTTAAGTCTTAGGAACAGTGGTTGGTATCCTGGGGCTTGATACCAACCTGGGACTGAGAGTTCAGAGGTACCACACACAGGTCTCTGGCCTGGAGGAATAGAGTAGAGAATGACAAGTGCACCGGTAGCTATGGTAACAAGGCACTCTCTGAGGAGGCATCCTGGAGGTGTGCAAGAGTGAGCTGGACACCCTGACACATGCTGACCAGCCTTCCATCAGTCATGGCTCTGTCATTCAGTCCACAGGCATGCGCCACCCCAGCATGCTGGGCACTGTTCTCTGCAGTAAGTTAAGAGCTGCAGTTCTCCTGCTCAGACTGGTTTGAACACCCCTATTCTTCCTGAGCCCCACAAGACTTCCCTTGGCACAGCCATCTCCCTGCGTGGAGTGTCTGATTGGGATCTGTCTGTTTTGTTCCCCCTCCACTCCAGGAGGCTCTTAAGAGTGAGACCAGAGCTGTTTATGTTCTCTGCCTCATCCCTAGTCCCCTGTAGTGGGCTGCCTAGCACTATAGTATTTGGTCTGGTTTTGGAGAGTTGAGCCTGGTGAGATCTGAATTCTACCCAGCACAGCATTCTCCCATCTCCCCCTCACCAAGAACCCACCACCCTCCCCCAGATTCTGCTTGAGCCTCTGGCTAGCCAAGTCCTGGAAGCTGGGAAGATGGTGGGAGGGGAAGGTGAGGTGCTCTAGGCGGCTTAGCAGAGGGTGAGAAAGAATCCTGCTGCCTGGCCGCAGGCACCAGGGGAAGGGAAGGTTCTGGCAGGAGCTGCCTGCTGGGCTGAGATCACCATGGAGACCTGGCTTACAGAGGGTCACTGGCAGTGGCTAAGGGCTGGTGGGGGTGGGAGCATCAGGGATTTGTGCAGAAGCTCCCAGCCTGCTCCAGGCCCTTGAGGAGAGTGGGCAAAGCTAGGGTTCATCACTGTCAGTGTGCCAAGTAGCTTGCAACAGCCCACTCTGTCTCTACTAGTCACCCAGAAGATTCTTCAGCTCGGCAGCTGTCCTTCAACTGCAGTAAAGCCAGCTTCTGGATCGAAGCCCCCAATGTTTGCTGAACCTGGCACCCCACATAACATAGTCCTGTCCCCTCATCTCTGCAGCTGGTCCTGCTTGTCACCCTAACTGTGTAGAGCTGACATTCATCCCCACAGCACCCCTGTTCCCAAAAGCTGCTTTTCTGACGACTGTCCCAATTGTGCTACAGCTGTCACCTTGCAGGCATACTGGCTCCCCCCACCCCAGTACCATCCCCCTACTGTGGTGCAGACCTGCTGGTATCACAGCATGCAGCCCTCATCCTCCCTCATGTCCCTGCTCACAGCCTGGCCAGATCACCAGGATGAGGTGCTGGCCCTTCCCTGTAGGAGCCCACCTGGTCCCCCTGGCCCTCAGGAGAGCCCTGGCAAGTCCAACCTCAGGACAAAAGTCATCCCTGGGGCTGATTGCCCAGCAGACAGCAGCTGAGGCTGAGCAGAATGTCAATGTGGCCCTGTTGGAGAGGAAAGCCAAGAAAATACAAGGGAGAGAGGCTTTCTGTCACTGCCTGGCTCTGAGGGAGGATGGATGCTGGGCAGAGGAGACTTAGGCAGTTTAGTGCCCCAGCCCTGGCCCTGATTCTGGAGGAAGTAGTCTTACACTGGGGGTGGGAAGTCAGAGTCCCAGGCTCTGAGAGCAGGGTGACTAATGGCCCATGGTCTTAGGAATGACTAAGCCAGCCCTATCTTGGGTACTTCGTCATTTGTACCAGAAGAAGAACTATAGATCCAGAGGGTCCAACAGGCTGGTGGTCTAGATAGGAAAGTTGAGTTCCACACACAAAATTAGAACTGTCTAGCAAAATGAAGTTCCTACCCTTACCTCGAGTGGGGACTGGATGTGGGGACTGGGGCGGTTTCTGAACTTCAGGAAGACAGTGTCTCCACCAAACACAGTGGGATAACTTCTTCATTCCTTTATTCAGGCTTCTTCATCACTTCATCTCTTTAAGGATCAGGATGGCCGAGTGGGGCTGGGAAGAGGGATGGATTCAGAAAAAATGGGAGCAGTGGTTGATACCCATGCAGTGCTGTGCTGAGGCTTTGTCTGTCATTCCTTAGAACAATCTAGATTTGAAGCACACACACATACATACATATACATGCACATTTGGAAACTCAGGTTTGGGGAACGCTACTGGGCCCATGAAACTAATAAAAGTGATAATTACTTTAATGTATTACACACTTATGTTCAGGTTTTCTCTGCCTTAAACCACTGGATCTATGGGGAGCAGACTAAGGCTTTGTTTTCTTTTTTTTTAATATTATTTTTATTTTATGCGTATGAATGTATTACCTGCACCTGGGTCATGCAGTACCCACAGAGGTTAGAAGAGGGCATCAGATCCTCTGGAACTGGGATTTCAGATGGTTGTGAGCTGCCAGGTGGATGTTGGGAACCAAACCCGGGTCCTCTGTGAGAGCAGCCAGTGTTCCTAACCACTACCCCTCTTTCTAGCTCCCTCTTGTGTGTGTGTGTGTGTGTGTGTGTGTGTGTGTGTGTGTGTGTGTGTGTTTGCTGTTTTTTGTTGTTTCTGTTTTTTTGGGACAGGGTCCTCCTGTAGCCCCAGCTGGCCTAGAATTTACTATGTAGACCAAGCTGGCCTCAAACTCAAGAGATTTGCCTGCCTCTGCTTCCTCAGTACTAAGATTAAAGGCGTGCCCCACCATACCCTGCCCTCTGTTTTAAGACAAGGTTTTGTGTCTCTTGCCTCTGTGCCACAAGTGCTGGGTTGATAGGTATGTACTACCACACCTGGTTTATGCTGTGCTAGAAATCAAACCCAGGACTTAATGCATGCTACGCAAGGATTCTACCAACTGAGCTATATCTCCTAGCCCTGTTGCTTATTTGATTCTTATGAGATGGTCTGACCATGCAGCCCAGGCTAGCCTTGAACTCAAGATCTTGTTGCTTAAGTGTTGAGATTATACAGCTCATGGACCATGAGCTCTATTTTCTTCTCCTTCATAATGAATAAACTTAGACAGGGATGGTAGCACATGCCTTTAATTCCATCACTTGGGAAGTAGTGGCAGGCATATCTGTGAGTTCTAGGCCAGCCAAAGTTACATGGTAAGACCCTGTCTACAAAACAAAACAAAATAATGAGTAAACTGAGCTTACAGAAGCTTAGCTTTTGCTCAAAGTCACATAAGTATTAAGTGGCAGCATTGGCATTTGAACTCACCTGTGTCTAACTCCAGAGCCCAGATTCAGCAAATCCTGCTTTGAGATCTTAACACTTCATCCAGACCATTTTTTACCCCTTGGTATAATCTTTGGCATTTACAAATGGGGAAACTGCACCTGTAATCCCAGCTCTTAGGTAGCTAAGGCAGGAGGATTAGAAGCTTAAGGCTAGCCTTAATACATAGCAAGTTTGAGGCAAGCCTGGGCTACATAAGACCTTATGTGAAAAAAAGGAACAAACCAACTACCAAATCTGGAAACTGAACTCAGAGAAGACCACCCATAGTCCCAAAGTCACATGGGGCCCCATTTGGAGAAGGAAGCAGAATCTTGGTGGGAATTGAGCCAAGCCCCCTCTTTCCACCCCTCATCCCCAGTCTCAGAGTTCAGTGTCTGTCTGCTGCTGATTCCTGCCTCTTGTGTTTCTTTGCAGCTTTCAGAAAACCAATGCCAAGACCCCTCCCAGCGTCCACATCGTCCTCTGGCAGGAGCGCCTGCCCCTCTGCCTCCCACCTGCCCCTTGCACTCCCTGCAGCCCACCCCCCCCACCCCCACACAGAAGCCGAAGGTGAGCCCTTTCTGCACAAAACCAGCAATTGTAAATACTTTTTAAAAATGTACAAAACTTAAAAACAAAACAGTTTTAGAAAAAGACAAAAAAAAAAAAGAGCGAGCGAGAGAGAGAGCGCGTGTGCAAGAGTTTGCAAGCAGGGCCTCAAGGTGTCCAGAGCCCCTGCAAGTATGCACTGAGAAATTTATCTACAGGTCGTTTGACAAAAATGAACAATATCCTATTTATTGTATATACTGTTTTATTATAAATCGTGGATTGTATATTGCATTCTGTAAACCTGCTGTGGTCCCGTGGTGTGCAAATTCGCATGGTGGGGGGGAGGGAGAAGAACCTCTTGCGGGAGCTTTTTTTTCTTTTTTTCTTTTTTTTGTTTTTTTTTCTTTGTTTTTTTCACTCTTTTGGGTTTTCTCTTCTGTTGTTGTTGTTTTCTGTTGGCAGGACACACCCAAAGATCCAAGTTTGTATTAAAAAGAAATGAAAAAAAGCAAAAAAAAAAAAAAAAAAAAAAAAAACCCATCTTTTCCCTGGTGTCTTGTGAAAGGGGGGTGCATGAGGATGGAGGGGCAGAAAGGACATGGCTTACTTTTGTCACCAGTCACTGGTTCCACCAGAGGTGTTGAAATACCTATGTTGAGTTCATGTGTTCTTACCTCTAAGTTCCCCCTGGTAGCTGGGTCGCCCTACCCACATCTTACCCAAGATTCTGTGCACCCCCCCCACCTCCGGCACGCGCTTCTGAGCATCTCCATTCTGCTCCCTAGAACATTCTGGCCCATGCATCATGCCCCAAGTTCAGGAATTCTGCCTCCTGGTTTTGGTTATTTTGAGTTGTTTTCTTAATTCTTCTTTTGGTTTGAGGTTGTTTTGTTTCATTTGGTTTCTCACCCTGTAGCCCAGGCTAGCCTGAAACTGTCCTCCTGTGTCAGCCTCCTGAGTGCTGGTATTACACACATGCACCACTGGATTCTGCCTCTTGACTTTGCTGTAGGTCCTGGGCTCCTGTGACTGTGAGAGCTGGCCTGCTTCTATCCCAAACCCATGGCTCCCAAAGCCTAAGCTTCCTTTCCCTGAGGAGCCCCACTGTGTGCCTGGCCTTAGGTCTCTTCTGGATTTCCCCATTCAACTCCAAGTCCTTGGGCCTTCTTAGTCTATTATTCATTTATCCTGTGTCTCTTTCCTTGGCCTTCAGGCCCCACAGTTCTTTCATGGTTCTAAGATTTCTCTCTTTGGGACACTCCATACTAAGTCCAAGAACATTTGCAAGATGTTACCTACTGGAGTCGCCCTGCTGTATAGGGTCTCCCCTGTCTATAGGCCCCCATTTTACTCCAGCATACCTATCTGCTAATGGAGAAAAGGTATGACCAGACCAGGCACCCCAATGTTTCTCTACCTTCCTCTTTCTTTCTACCCTGAACACTAAATGCTATGCCTGTGTTTCCTCCTAGCTTTGTTTAACTGAAAAACAACTAACCCTAAGCATGCCTCTGCTGGGCTGGAAAAGCTGAGCTGTTTGAGGACTAGCTCTTAACTTTCCTTCACTCAAACCATACCCACTTTGACCTGGTCTGTAGTGTTTTTAGGAGCAGGTTTTCTAACCACCCCCTTTTTTTTTTCTTATGGGAGGGTGGGTTCATTTTGAGATAGGGTCTCCCTATAGCCCCAGCTGTCCTGGAACTCACTATGTAGACCAGGTTGGCCTTGAACTCAGAGATCTGCCTGCCTCTGCTGGGATTAAAGGTATGTGCCACCATGCCCTGCCACCAACCACCCATTTTGTTAAAGTTCTGCTGAGCAACTTTCCTGTCCTCCTCAGTGGGGCTCAGGGTGTGACACTAGGGCTTGCTCCATGTGTCTTAGCATTCCTGCCCAGGCCTTGGGGTAGTCAGAGGAACCAACCCTCTGAGAGGGAAACATGCTCCACCTTCTGGACACCCCTGCTGAAAGAGGTGTGAGGATTCTTACAGGTCACAACTTAGTTCTCTGCCTAATGTCAAGACCTATCTGCTGAGCATCCCCAAGATGCCGAACTTCCTGTCTGCTGTGGGGAGACAACACTCTCAAGCTGGCAATCCCCTGTGGAGCTGGAAGTGGAGGCAGGAAGCAGAAAGACCTGCCAAGGGCCAGGGAAGGGGCTTTCCAGAGGAGAAAGCTCTTAAAAAGCCACGCCTAGGGTGGTAAGCAGAAAAATGAGTACCTTCTAGAGCAGAGGTGGGAGAGGGTGGCAGGAGGTTGAAGGCCCAGGTAGGCCTAACTGCTATAGACACTGCTGTGCTGGGAGAGTGGAGTGGGAGGGCTCTGGCAAGGTCATTCTGAGATGAAGAGGAGGGGGAAGGAGGATGGTTAGAGCGGGTGGAGGCATTAGAAAACCCAGTGGGGGAGGTGGGAGCTCAGTTAAGTAGTACTGTGGTAGACAGAGACTGTGGTAGACAGAGTGCTTGCCTAGCAGGAACAAGCTGTAGGTTCAATTCCCCAGCACCAAAAAAATAAAACAAAAAACGAAGTGGGCAGCTAGGATAGACCAACTCGAGAGAAGGCTGCATCCCATCCTCAAGAACTGCCTACAGGGAGACATTTTGTTTTCAGTGGCTGCTGAGGGGGCAGAAGAGGAGTCTGGCCAGGTGGGGCTGGCAGGTGAAGGGGGCTGGGTTGAGCTGGCTTCCCAGGCAGTCAGGGTTCAGTCTGAGGGTGAAGGGGTGGAGGATTGCTGAGGCACAGAGGGGAGGGCCTGGGGGGATTATACAGTGATGTGATTGCAGCTCAGCACTAGATGGATCTTAAGGGGAAGAAGGGTAGTAAAGGGTTGTGCTTGTAGTAACTAAAGGACTTGGGCTGGGGAGACCCATGAAGCAAAAAGGAATTTGGAGGGCTAACAACAGATCATAGAGGGGGCCCCTTGGCTAAGAGGAAGGATGGGAACTTACTACAAACAGGAGATTGGGAGAGGGGCTTGGTGAGAACTGGGGCTCCATTAGAGATGAAGAGAAGGAACAGTAAGAGGGAAAGAGGTACTGGGCGGGAGGGTGTAAACGCGGTGGTAGAGCACTTGCCTAGTTTCTGCAAGGCCCTGATCCCCAGTGCCACAGAAAAAGAGAAACATCTGGGAGGGGAGGGGAGATGGTGCTACCTAAAAGGCAATGAGGGCAGCCAAGATGTATTTTAGAGACCAGACTTCATAGAAGTGTTGGAATGGAAAGTTCTTTAGGCCCTAGAATCTCAGAGGAAAGGTCAGCAGAGACCATGTCCAGGTAGGTAATGCAGGGAAGGGGAGTAACCCTGTGTTGTTCTGTTCTTTTCAGAGGTTGGGGCTTCTGGTGTCATGATCTCACACCAGATCCCAGAATGCATCCAAACTACATGGTTCCTGGCTGGGGCTGGTGGTACAGGCTTATATAGTCCCAGCTACTTAGGAGGCTGAGCTTGGGCAATTTAGCAAAGCTCTATCTCAAAAATAACACTAGAAGCTGAAGAGATGGCTCCACAGGTAAAGATCCTTGCTGCCAAGCCTGGTGACCTAAGTTCTATCCCTGGAACCTACATGGTAGAAGGACAGGTTATCTTCTGACCTCCATACATACCCAAGACATATGGGGACACACACACGCACACACACATATATTTAAAGTAACTGGGGCTAGAGTATCACTCAGTCTAAAAAATACTTGCCATACAAGCATGAAAATCCAAGTTTCATTCCCAGAACCATTGGGTATGGTGGTACATGCTTGTAATCTCAGCCCTGGGTCGGTAGAGACAGGTGGACCCCCTGGGGCTTGCTGGCCATCCAGTCTAGACTACTTGATAAGTTTCAGGTCAGTAAGAGACGCTGCTTCAAAAACTGGTAGGTAGAGACGGCGTGGTGACGCACACCCTTACTCCCAGCACTTGGTGAGGCAGACACAAGCAAATCACTATGAGATGGAGGCCAACCTGGTCTGCATAGAGAGCTCCAGGCCAGCTGGGACTACAGGAAGACCACCGTCTTAAACACACAAAGAACAGTCAGTGGCACCTGAGATTGACATCTGGCCTCTAGAAGCATCATGTACCCGCATGAATACACACACATGCAGTAAGAAGAGGGCTGGATGGGTGCTGGAGAGATGGCTCAGCAGTTAAGAACACTGGCTGTTCTTGCAGAAGACCCGGGTTCAAATCCCAGCACCCACATGGCAGCTAACTACTGTCCGTAACTCCAGTTCCAGGGGATCCAATGGCCTCTTCTGTCCTCATGGGCATTGCATGACACTGGTGCACTTACCTACGTGCAGGCAATACATGTGTACACATAAAATAAAATTTTTTTTGAAAAATATTATTTTTATCTTATGTGTAAGATAAAAGAGTTACGGACAGTTGTTAGCTGCCATGTGGGTGCTGGGATTCAAACCCGGGTCTTCTGCAAGAACAGCCAGTGTTCTTAACCGCTGAGCCATCTCTCCAGCCCCATAAAATAATATTTTTTTAAAAAGAGGAGGAGGGCTGGAAATGAAGCTCAGTGGTAGAGTGTTTGCCTACTAACATCGCTCAGGTGTTTATTCTTCAAGAGACTCTTTGAAATAAAGATCCTTCATTTACAGGTGACAAGACAGTTCACAGACATGGAGTAAGTGACTTATCCCAGGAGTGACTTGTCCAAGGTCATATGGGAAATGGCAGTAGACTGCCCTGAAGACCGACTCTTAAGCCTTTGCTTTTATATAATGACTTAATGAAAAAAAAAATCTGTCTATCACTGGGGACATGCACAAGATGGGGCCCAGGGTTTGATCCCCAGCACTAGGGGGCAAAATCTGTTCATAAAATCTAAATATTAATACATCCTATAATAAGGAGTTTTAGGGCAGGAGATACGGCTCAGTGATGTGATTGCAAGCTTAGCCATGGGTTCAGTTTCCACAAAATGATAATAATAAATAAAGCTTAACACTTTCTATTTATCTGCTGCTTTAAACACTTCACATAGATAAAAATTCACTGGTTCAGTTTCCACAACAATGCTGTAAGGCATCATTAGCAAGTCCCCCATTTTACAGACAGGAAACTCGCTATTAGGCTGGTGTAGAGTACTTGCCTAGTAGCACGCATAAGGTCCTCGATAATATAAATGAAATAATTTTATGGCTAGAGATGTAGCTCAGTGGGCAGAGTGCTTACCTAGTATGGTACATGAAGCCCCAGTTTAGGCTCCAGCACTGCATAAACCAGGCGTGGTGGCACATGCCTATAATCTCAACACAGGAGGTTGGGGCAGAAGGATCAGAAAT